AAAGTGGGTTAAATCAGGGGTGTCCAACCTGGGGGCCCAACACAAAATTGAAAAAACTATTTTAAAAAAGTTTTTTTTTTTGGGGGGTTTTTTGAAAAAAAGCATTTACACTTAGAAAAACGTGCTGATGGAAATTTGACAGTGTGTGTTTTTTTTTATCTTCCCAAAGAGAAATCTCCCATCTCTTCACAATCACTCCTTGAGGATGAAGCACGCTGAAGGGCAAAATTAGACCAAATTATCTGAGGAAGCACTTCAGAATTCCAATGAGAATTGCTACTACATTCATCAAACCAGATCTTGATGTGTTTGTTTGTCAAAAACAGTGTCAAATAGTTGCACTAGTTTTACATTACCGTCTTTTTTACTTTTATAATAAAAAATATTAAAAAAAGATGACGCTTTATTACTCAGATAGGTACAATATCTAAATCAGCGATTGTTAACGTGGATGATCTTGCTAACTTTTTCTGCTCATCAGCTCTCCTTATATGTCAGTCTATTTTATGTGTGGCCCAAGACAATTCCTCTTTTTCCAATGTGGACCAGGAAAGTCAAAAGGCTTTAAATACTTCCTACCACCTCTGCTTCCCATCCAGCTGCATACTATTATTTATTTTATGTTTTATTTATTTCAGGTACTTATATAACGCCATTAATTTACGCAGCGCTTTTACATAATTGTAATTTATTATGATTTTTGTTTATTGCATTTGTTCTTGTATTATTTGGTGATGGTCAATATACGTGATTTGTAAATAAAGGCAAACACTGCTTAGAACTATGATCTCTCCAGCTCACCTAATTATCCTATAGGAACAATATCAATTTTTGAAATTATTTATTTTATTTATTTATTTATTTCAGGTACTTATATAACGCCGTTAATTTACACAGCACTTTACATATATATTGTACATTCACATCAGTCCCTAACCCTCAAGGAGTGTACAATCTAAGGTCCTTAACTCACATTCATACATACACATACTAGGGCCAATTTAGACAGGAGCCATTAACCTATCAGCATGTCTTTGGAGTATTAAGCACAAATCATAATTTTAATAGTTTTTTTTACTTGATTTTTTAAGTGGTTATATGAACACAAATTGCCAACCCTTCAGATATACAATTCCTGTCTTCCACTGCTCTAAGTATTGTCAGATGGGGAGTCTCCTCCCACAAGCTGTAAATTAATCAGAGGGGTTAGAGCTTTGTGATCACATAAAAAAAATCAAGCAAGGCACCTACAGGGAGGGATGTACAGGACATCTACTCAAAAAATAGCCAGACCACTTTGCATTGCTGCTACTCCTTACTTGGACCCTGACCTTCAGCTTCAACACCCATGTGCTCCTACCTGGAAGTAAATGAAAACATACTCCAAAGACATGCTGGGAGGTTATTTGGCTCCTGTCTAAAATTGGCCCTAGTATGTGTTTGAATGAATGTGAGTTAGGGACCTTAGATTGTACGCCCCTTGAGGGTTAGGGACTGATGTGAATGTACAATATTTACTATTTATGTAAAATGCTGCATAAATTGACCACTCTATATAAGAACCTGAAATAAATGACCTGGTGGTCCATGCTGGAAACCAGAGCCGAGAAGCACTGCTCCAGAGCATGACAGAAAGTTACACATTCTTCCAATGTGATTTCAAAATTGATTTGTTTTATTATAACTCAGTAAAGAAAACAAAAAAAAAAAAAAAAGATCATACAACAGCTGCCATTTATTTGACATGTTACACTATGTAACTGTCAGGAAAGGGCTCACCTGCTCTATGGGCTGCAGTACCGGGACTTAGGCTGGCCATACATGATACAATTTTCTTGAGATTTTTGGTTTAGATTTACCAAAAACTATATAATAGGAGGTCAAACCTAAAAAAAAACACTTTAATTCTATCCAATTAGGCAGGGCCTTGTACTACATAGTTGAAGGTAAATCTAAAGGAAATTGGACAGAAAATTGTATAGTGTATGGGCAGTCTTACCAGCGAGTGCCTTTCAGCAGCCAGGATCTCACCTGCTGCAATCAAGCCATCACCTGAGGCTGATTGCAGGAGGTGTATTTAAACAACCTGCCTACAGAGCACTTATGCCCCCTTCCTGCCCAGGCCAGTTTTCAGCTTTCAGCACTGTCGCAATTTGAATGACAATTGTGCGGTCATGCAACACTGTACCCATATGAAATTTTATATATTTTTTTCGAGACAGATAGAGCTTTCTTTTGGTGGTATTTAATCACCTCTGGGTTTTTATTGTTTGCTAAACAAACCAAAAACAACTGAAATTTTTGAAAAATTTTTTTTTCTTAGTTTTTGTTATACAATTTTGTAAATAAGTGATTTTTCTCCTTCACTGATGTGCGCTAATAAGGCTGCAGTGATGGGCACTGATAGGCTGCACTGATGGGCACTGATAGGTGGCACTGATGGGCATTGATAGGCATCACTGATGGGCACTGAAAGGCAAAACTCATATATGGCACTGATAGGCGGTGCTGACTGGCACTGTTAGGCGGCACTGATAGGCAGCACTGACGGGCACTGATAGGCAGCACTGACGCGCACTGATAGGTGGCACTGACAGACACTGATAGGCGGCACTGATTGGCACTGATAGTTGGTACTGATTGACAGCACTGATAGGTGGCACTGACTGGCATTGATAGGTGGCACTGAAAGGCAGCTCAGATGGGCACTGATATGTGGCATTGATGTGCACTGGTAGGCACTGATATGTGGCATTGATGAGGCACTGATGGACACTGACAGGTGGCACTGCTGGGGCTACACTGATCATCAGAGCACACTGATCATCAGTGCCCTGATGATCAGTGTACATGTCCCTTCTGTGGAATGCCGATTACTGGCTCTCCTCTCGAGCTGTCAGCGTGACAGCTCGTGAGGAGAGAAATGCCGATAACCGGCATTTCCCTGTTTACATGTGATCAGCTGTGATTGGACACAGCTGATCACATGACTGAGCCGACATCTTTGGCTCTTTCTGTTGATCGGTGATCCGCTGTGTCCGAGGGACACAGCGCACCACCGATCACCGCATGCTCCCGGAGCTGCGCATGCGCAGTTAGAGTGGGAGGACATCATATGATGTCCTCCCAGAACGAGAGAACCCCCTTGTGCCCATCATTACCTTATATGGCGGGCGGGAGGTGATTAAACATCAATCATGCCTGTAATCAGTGCCTTGGTGTTTTGTTCCCATATGCCCGTGATACCCTGTTTTCCTGAACCTGCTACCGTTACCTACTCCTGTGATCTGCTCCTTGTCCTGTCTGGCTCCCAGCGCCCCATGCTTGATCTCCAGTGTATGACCCCAGCTAGCCCTGGCTACGCATTTATTATGCATATGTATAGTGGGGATCGAAAGTTTGGGCACCCCAGCTAAAAATTTGTATTAATGTGCATAAAGAAGCCAAGGAAAGATGGAAAAATCTCCAAAAGGCATCAAATTACAGATTCGACATTCTTATAATATGTCAACAAAAGTTAGATTTTATTTCCATCATTTACACTTTCAAAATAACAGAAAACAAAAAAATGGCGTCTGCAAAAGTTTGGGCACCCTGCAGAGTTAATATCTTGTACTGCCCCCTTTGGCAAGTATCACAGCTTGTAAACGCTTTTTGTAGCCAGCCAAGAGTCTTTCAATTCTTGTTTGAGGTATCTTTGCCCATTCTTCCTTACAAAAGTCTTCCAGTTCTTTGAGATTTCTGGGCTGTCTGTCACGCACTGCTCTTTTAAGGTCTATCCATAGATTTTCAATTATGTTGAGGTCAGGAGATTGTGAAGGCCATAGCAAAACCTTCAGTTTACGCCTCTTGATGTAATCCCCCGTGGATTTCGAGGTGTGTTTAGGATCATTATCCATTTGTAGAAGCCAACCTCTCTTTAACTTCAGCTTTTTCACAGATGGCATCAAGTTACCATCCAAAATTTGCTGAAATTTTATTGAATCCATTTTTCCTTCTGCTCGTGAGATGTTCCCTGTGCCACTGGCTGCAACACAACCCCAAAGCATGATTGATACAACCCCATGCTTAACAGTTGGACAGAGGTTCTTTTCATTAAATTCTGTGCCCCTTCTTCTCCAAACGTACCTTTGCTCATTCCGGCCAAAAAGTTCAATTTTAACCTCATCGGTCCACAGAACTTGTTTCCAAAATGCAGCAGGCTTGTCTATATGTTCATTTGCAAAGTTCAAACGATGATTTTTGTGGTGAGGACGTAGAAGAGTTTTTCTTCTGATGACTCTTCCATGAAGACCATATTTGTACAAGTATCTCTTTATAGTGGAATAGTGTACCACAACTCCAGTGTCTGCCAGATCTTTCTGGAGGGATCGTGCAGTCAAACATGGGTTTTGAATTGTTTTTCTCACAATCCTGCGAGCTGTTCTGTCTGATATTTTTCTTGGTCTTCCAGATGTTGCTTTAACTTCCACTGTTCCTGATGACTGCCATTTCTTAATTACATTCGGAACAGAGGATATTGACATCTGAAAACGCTTTGCTATCTTCTTATAGCCTTCTCCAGCTTTGTGAGCGTCAACTATTTTCAGTTTCAGTTTTCTAGACAACTGCTTAGAAGAACCCATGGTGCTGATTGTTGGGGCAAGGTCAGATGAGTCTGAGCATTTAAAACCTTTGAGATTGACATCACCTGGTCTTCCCAGATGATGATTGAGAACAATCCATGACACTGGCAGGTCTCAGCTTGGCAAAGGGGGCAGTGCATGCTATAAATTCTGCAGGGTGCCCAAACTTTTGCAGACGCCATTTTTTTGTTTTCTGTTATTTTGAAAGTGTAAATGATGGAAATAAAATCTAACTTTTGTTGACATATTATAAGAATGTCTAATCTGTAATTTGATGCCTTTTGGAGATTTTTCCATCTTTCCTTGGCTTCTTCATGCACATTAATACAAATTTTTAGCTGGGGTGCCCAAACTCTCGATCCCCACTGTATATATTTGGTGGATGTTTTGTTATTTGGTTTTTGCTTGCACTGTGCGTTTGTATATATTGGTGTTTCTTATAAATAAATTATATTATTTACATCACTCCTGAAGCCTGATATTCCCTGTGCCAGTCCACACATCTCTGGTCATATCTGGATTACTTACAGTAACCAATATGTGGACAGGTTACTGTTAGTACAGCACAGTCACATATCCAAGTAAATAATAAAACAGACAGCTTTTCCTTGGGAGAAACCTTAAAAATTCTTAATTTTATCTATGAAAATCTTAAAACATGGTTGGCATTTCAGTCCAAAACAAGTCACTAGGGGTTGTCCAAGCACATTAATACCAAAAGGATTTCCTGTGCCTTCTGGTCTCTACAATGCCCATTTTCTCCATGATGTCCTCCTAAAATGTTTTGAGTGATGGGATGTAGGTCCTTCCAAAGCGTCTTCCACAGAGGTGTCTTTGGGGCCATCTAGACAAAAGGAGGAAAAAATATAGTGAAGGGGAGACATCTTGTGCAGTGTTAGAGGTAGTGCAGCCTCTTGTGGGGTGCTGGTAGAATAGTGACCTCTAAAGGAGAGATGGAGGCAGTTTAGGTGAGAGGGAATGAAGCTCCAGGGAGTGACCAGAGAAGCTTTGTGCATGTAATGCAGTAATGACTGTGCAGGGTATGAGGTATTCCTCTATAACACATAACTAACCAGTAAACATAACTAAAGTCTATTGATGTAAAGCCAATACGACATAGAAGATCTGAATGTACTGTTACTCTTGCACAGAGTATTTGATTGGCTATAATACTGGACATTTGGAAGACCAGCGCTTGGCCTTTGTTTTATCAAACAGTGAGAATGAAAAAAATAGCACAAGCAAGGTCTACAAATGTTTCATTGTAACTGATAGAGTTGCAGCAACCAATTTCCCCACCTACATTACAATTATCGTACGGTATATGTACAAATAAAACTTCAGCGCAACAAAAAACTCCCCAATCGCCTGCGTATACCAGTGCTGCTGACACTTACATGCGTTTCCACACACAAATAGTTATATCATATAATAGTGCAGCACATATATCTCTATATCCTTATATATATCAAAACATCCAGACCATGTGATTATTCAACATTAGTGAATTCAATGAATACAACTTAAAAGTCCATAATGTGTAATTAAATCCATGCCTTTATGATTTGTTCCCAAACAGGTGCTCTTTATTGCTTATATCCACATATATTCCTATAGGTGCTCCTCCACCAGAGACATACATATATACTCTCACCTCCTTTTATGACCCAAATTGCATAGGTCAAATACCACCTTTCCCTTTTAACCCGGGTAGGTATACTGTATGGATGACTCCACTTTCCTCCTCACTCTGGTGCAAACGGTCTCGTTTCCTCTTTATTCCTCATATGTATACAGAAACGCTTGCCATAGTGTAGTATATAAATATAGCGTGATTTATTGAAAAAGCAAAGTGCACTCACATGTAAAAGTGTCCTGCTGGGACACCACAGTAAAATCCTAAATTTATTTATAAAAAAGCAGCCAATCTCAAAAGATAGCTTGGTGAGGATTGTTTTGGATCCACCTCAATCTAATATTATTGTGTCTCTCTTTGATGAAAAAGGCTTTATGCTTGTGGCTTTGGATGCAAAAGTGTAAAAAACAACTTGAAAAGAAGGAAAACCTTTATATCTCACAGTACGGGAGTGCAGTATGCTATCTGAGACTGTATAACTTGCAAAACAGAGGGGGTGGTGTATTGTATAGAATGTGAATGCGGCTTGCAATACATACAGTGAAGGAAATAAGTATTTCATCCCCTGCTGTTTTTGAATGTTTGCCCACTCACAAAGAAATGATCAGTCTAAAAATTGAATGGTAGGTGTATTGTAACACTGAGAGACAGAATAGCAACAAAAAATTCAAAAGAAATGCATGTCTAACAAATTATGCACTGATTTGCATGTTCATGAGGAAAATAAGTATTTGATCCCCTATCATTCAGCAAGATTTCTGGCTACCGGGTGTCTTTCATACAGGTAACAAGCTGAGATTAGAAGCAGCCTCTTAAAGGGAGTGCTGCTATTCTCATTTTGTTACCCGTATAAAAGACACCTGTCCACAGGAGCAATCAAACAATCAGATTCCAAACTCTCCACCATGGCAAAGACCAAAGAGCTGTCCAAGGATGTCAGGGACAATATTGTAGACCTACACAAGGCTGGACTGGGCTACCAAACTATCGCCAAGCAGCTTGGTGAGAAGGTAACAACAGTTGGTGCAATCATTTGCAAATGGAAGAAACACAAAACAACTGTCAGTCTCCCTAGATCTGGTGCACCATGCAAGATCTCACCTCGTGGAGTGTCAATGAGCATGAGGACAGTGAGGAATCATCCCAGAACTACATGTGAGGATCTTTCAATGATCTCCAGGCAGCTGGGACCACAGTCACCAAGAAAACAATTGGTAACGTACAACGCCGACAAGGATTGAAATCCTGCAGTGCCCGCAAGGTCCCTCTGCTCAAGAAAGCACATGTCCAGGCCCATCTGAAGTTTGCCACTGAACATCTGAATGATGCAGAGGAGGACTGGTGGAAAGTGTTGTGGTCAGATGAGACCACAATCGAGCTCTTTGGCATCAACTCAACTCGCTGTGTTTGGAGGAGGAGGAATGCTACCTATGACCCCAAGAACACCATCCCAACTGTCAAACATGGTGGAAACATTCTGCTTTGGGGGTGTTTTTTTCTGCTAAGGGAACAGGACAACTGCACTGCATCAAAGGGACGATGGACGGTGCAATGTACTGTCAAATCTTGGGTGAGAACCTTCTTCTGCCAGCCAGGGCATTAAAAATGGGTCGTGGATGAGTGTTCCACCATGACAATGACCCACAACACACGGCCAAAGCAACAAAGCAGTGGCTCAAGAAGAAGCACATTAAGTTCCTGGAGTGGCCTAGCCAGTCTCTAGACCTTAATCCGACTGAAAATCTGTGGATGGAGCTGAAAGTTCGAGTTGCCAAACGTCAGCCACCAAACCTTAAT